TCTATGAGGTACTTCACATGATGTTTGTGCAACCCATGTTACCTTTGGCCTTATGTTTTCTGAATAAAAGTCATCTTCTCGATCAGCATCACTCTGTTCTTGGTACTCTTGATATTCGTTAACATATTCCGCGGGTAGTATCGATATCACCCCGATCTGATGTTCATCCCAGCTACCTTCATTCTTATCGTCGAAATAATCTTTTGCATATTGGCCCCCTATTGATACGTTGTTCTCTTCAAAGTTTCTGTAATTATTCCAGTAAGGGATTCTTCCTCTTCTTCTCCAAGGCCTTCCACGGAATCGCCTTTAGAATGTTGGGAATCTAGTATTCGACCCTTCATCGTACGACAGTCTCTCGAAGACATCATTACCCTGGAGTTTGCCTCTTCCTCCTCGAGAAGGGTACATCTCTCTTCTAACCCACTGTCTTTGATTCCCACTAACACCAGAGCCAACAGATTTTTGTTGACATTCTCCGATCGTTGGTTGGCTTGTTTGATCCACTTTGTCATTTTTCCTTTCATTCTGACTTTCGATTTTCTTTATCTGTTCCACTCTGAAAGCCTTAGCAGCTGACTTATCAAAGACTGCGCTACATCGCGGACATAACGACACATCTTCATCTTTTCCTTGCTTTCTGTTTAAAAACTCGATGAGAGAATCTCCTGATCGAGGATAAATCTCCCTCTCGAATTCTTTTTCGAATTCACTCAAATCGAATTCCATATCTTCTTCACATATATCCATTCTGACATGCTTGGGATCAATGTCTTCAGTAACATCGACCATGCCTATAAAAGCAGAATTCGTCACTCGGACATCTTTAGTCATGCCCGTTTGGGATTCAATATACCCCACTTGAACTTCGAATGGACTCGTGTCCACTTTCATTGACATCTCTTCAAATTTCAGTCTTCCTTGGTCAATCGCATCTTGGATCGTATTCCTGAAATGTATGCAATTGTTAGTCCAATGTCCATAAATATTATGAAATTTGCAATATTTTCGACCATTCCTTTGTTCTGCAGAAGGCAGTTTATGGTCATCACTCAACTTAATTTGTTTGTCTTTTAATAAAATATCAAAGATTTTATCTGCCTTTGTCACATCGAAAGTATACGTTCGATTTGCCATTTTATCTTTTACTTCATTCTTTTGTAGCAATTTACAGATATATGGAGTCCCTACTTTGAGCTCTACTATATTTACTTTCTCTTCGACAGTTTCTTCAATATCATTTTCTATCATGGGATATGTCTCATATACATCATTTATATATGCTACTCTTTCTTTTTTCATGGGTTTCTCATATTTCTTGTACCTTTCTTTTTCATACTCAATTTGTTCTACTCTTCTTACTTTATCAGCTAATTGAGTCATGTCATTCAATGGTAAATTGACTAACTTTTTCCTAATCGAGAATTCTAAGCCTGCAGAGGTCATTCTAACTAATTCATATTCAGGAATTTGAGTGAAACATCTCGACTTCATTAGTCTAAATCGATTCAAATAATCATCTATGCTTTCGTGATTGTATCTTTTTATATTCATCAAATCGATGAGACTCACTTGAGTTTCTCCTCTAAAGAATTGCTCATGAAAATTTCTTTCCAGTTGCAGCCAATTATATATCGAATTGGGTGACAACGAAGTAAACCAAGTAAACGCGTTCTTAGTCAAAGAACTAGGGAAATATTTCATTTTTAATTCATCGCTCATCGCTAGGTCCCCACATTCGATCTGATATCGAGCTACATGCTCGATAGTTGATTCACCAATTTCTCCAGCGAATTTGGTGAATTTAGGTACTTTGTATCCTCGAGGTAATTCCGTCTCAAGAATCGCATTTGGAAAGGGAGACACAAAGTATGTTTGATTGGGTGGTCTAAACTCCATCCCTTGGAAATTCATCCTCTGTCCTAACATGTGATTATACTGCATGTTATTCTGATTGTACATATTTTGAAATCCTTCATTCAGATTCCCACAAATATCATTTCTCATCTGTTGGTATTCATTCCCCGTATGCTGATGTTGATCATTGTTTCGATTTCTCCTTAATAGATATGGGGGATTGATATTAGCATTCTGGTTAACATGATTTTCTACCCTTGTTCGTCGAGGTACAACCAATGCATCCCCGATTCGTGACATTTGGTCTGCTAATATCTCAAAACTAGCAGTAGTGTTTTGAACTAATGGGTTTAGGACTGTAGTCAACTGTTGTGACAACATATTCACCATCTCAAAATTGCTCTCATCCATTTGTTGTCTAAGTATCCCTAATGAGTTACTGGATATCCCAGTACCAGTGTTTTTGATAGTCTCAAAATTGGATCGATGATAATCTCTATCGAATATATATCTTCCATGTTCCAAATTTCCTCTATGATCTAGATTTCCTCTATGATCTAGATTTGGAAGCGTTTGTTGTGTGCCTAAATTCTGTCCACTTCCTGAATTCTAGGGGATTGTTAAGTTTTGAGATGTCCCTAAATTCGGAGGGACTCCAAAATTTTTGGGCATGCCCAGTGTTTAAGGCATTCCTAAGTTATATCTCGAATTCCGCTGTGTTGAAGAAGTTCCAGCCCCGCTCGTATTATTAAGCGAAAACTCAGGCGGTCTTACACTCATATATGGCCCTACATATGTTGTTGTGGGGTTTCCTATAGTTTGCATATTATTTGGTACCACCGTATTAGATCCTACTTGGGTGTTTGTTAAGGTACCTGAATTTTGTTCGTTACCCACAGGTATCGACACACTCGTAGTTGTCGATGTTACAGGCATATTCCCATTATGACTTTGCCCCCCAGTATTTGGTGAATGTACACCATTCAGACCCTCACTGTTACTCTGATTATTTGATGAATTTTGACTCATGCTTATAACTCGCCCACTCCTTAGTCTCATACACTCTCGAACTAACCAATTTTGTGTTTTTAACACAAGGCAACCCCTACCTGGCGCGCCAATTTGTTTCTGGTGGAATTTCGATCGATTTCGACTCTTAAGATATTTTGATCCTAATCAAAATTCTACCACGTAAGTTCTTTTTACTTAGGCTAGCAAATTAATTTTCAATCGAGATGCGTATGAGGATCGAGTTTTGCCCGATTTCAAAGATACTATTTTTGGTGTTTTATATTTAAAGTACTCGAAGTAAAGAAAGCAGAAAATTCGTGGAATCGAAAAACAGTGCTGAACATTAGATTGCAAAGAAACGTAACATGCGAAAATCTTAAATTTGCTTTAAGTATAAAAGACAAGGAATCGAAATAGCAAAAATGTAAATAACAGGAAGTATAAATGACAGTAAATCAAATGTGCAGAAAGTATAAATAACTTAGAAATCGAAATTGCATTAGTGTTAAATGACAAGAAAACTTAAACGCGGAAACTTAACTTTCATTGAATCGAAATGACCAAAAATCGAAAGTACAGAAACATAAAATTGCTAAAGATAAATTGCATCAAAGTAAATTACCAAGGAAAATACAGAAAACGGTAAAGGTACTCAATGAGCATGGAAATCTAGATTGCTAGAAGCTTCATGATGTTCGTCGTTTCTCCGGTAGACTTCTCACTAATGATTCTGTTCTCTGCCAATTTTCTGCTCCCTTTTCCTTTCATTCTTCGCCCTATTTATAGAGCATCCTTTAAGCAAGTAACCTCTTAGGAGCAGTTAATGAAAACTGCTACCACGTCCTACATGTCTGTTGCAGTTTCTTCTTCGGTGTCAAAACTGCACTCACGTTCCCATGATCTTCGACCTCCGCCATGGTTTAAAAACTGCTTTCACGTTCCCATACATGAGGTAACTGCTTCTTTGACCTTGGACCTTTGTCATTGCTTGCCATGTTTGATGTACATGTTAATTGTTTCTTTCTTTATAACTTAGCCGGGATTTTGATACATGGGTTAACCTTTCTCCGATGTTGATTTCGAAATTTCGAGAACATTTGACTTGCCTTTGATTTCTCTTAATCTTAACATTACATAATTCTGATTTCTCGATTTCATTCACTAACAGGTATTAAACATTCATCCTTCGATTCTCGATTCAAATTCTCGCTTATATTGTCACATGGTCGTCGAACGCATTTTCCAGCTATCTTTCGATTTATCAATCTTTAACTCAATCAAAAAGGATTCTCGATTTACTCCCATTTGTTTCTCAATCCCTTTACGATTTCCCACTAACAATAGGCAAAAGCGTGAAGGGATCAAAATACCAACCAGTTTGGTATTCAACTTCATAGCATAGTCAGATTAATTATTAAATAATATAATAATTTAGACGAGTCTGTAAATATTATTACAGCACGTGTAGTCACTATTTACCGTGACACATCACAATTGGAATACTAAAATTAAATTAATTTGTAGTTTCAACGAGTGAATTGTGCCTGAATTATATTTAACAGTTTAAAATTTGCATTACGCAACCAAGACCTCAGATCAGCAAACCAGTCCTTTTGTAGGATTTCCTTGGCCAGACGTTCCACCCACCCGAATAGGCAATAAATTTCCATCAAAAGCATGATAACATACATGCATCAACCTGGCCCTTCTAGATCATAATATCGTAGCTAAAAGCAGAAGCAACAAGCAATTAGACAAAACCACTTGTCAATAGATTTCAACAAACTCATTGCAATCATGCAACGATATAGGTAAAGGGCGCACAGCCTTTGACACTAATATGGAAGACCCATCAACTGTTTCTAAAGGAAACTCACAATTGTTTCGGCCATACAAAATATACAAGTAAAGATTATAATAATATTATTACCACAACCATCGCCAACCTTCCGCATCTATTTAGACATATATGAAATATCCACACCACCTAGACTGCCTCAAGACAGACAGACTACAAAATTGCATTTTTACTATTCTAAAATTCACTTTAGTAGAGACCGAAAGAGAATATACACAGCAGAGAAACATGAGTATGAGGCAGTGAAGAAAAAGAAATTGAAGACACAATTGCATCAGCGAAGTTTATTCTGAGCAACTGCCTGACAAAGTTCATCTTCATAGAAGAGAACTCTATTAGAAGCCAAAGATTTGTATAGGGGCTTTGTTATAACTGATGGCACCAAGCAACGAGAAGGGAAAGCTGACTCTGGGAAAAGAACAGCTGCAACCTGCCGCATCTCAGAAACTTTTAGGCGAGAAGGAGGTCGAGGCCCATGTTTGGGTGCTTTAGGTGTGTGTGGGCTTGGAACTCTCACTCCCTTCCCATCACCCTTGCTGCAAATATAATAACGGTAAGATGCAAACTTGCATATAAAACTGTGATGAAAACATGCAGATAAAACTGCAGAAAAATATTTATTGCCAAAAACACCTACCACAAAAAGGGCCAATGCTCAGTAGGACGAGGAGTCATTGTGCTTAACATCTCTTGCCGAGAGCGATCTGGCGTAGTATAATTGAAGTAAAATTGCCTTGCAATCATAACCTAACAGTATAAGAAAAAGTTAGCCAAAACAGAAGAAGCCAGAGTACTTAGCTAAATCATAAATAAACGCATGCATTTAAAGGCACAAATAAAGAGACATAACTTACAGCTTTTCTAATTCTCTGAGATACATGGAAGACAGCTCTCAGTTGGTCATGGTGCAAGAGACATAGTATTTTAACCTCAAATTTGTCAAAGATAAACGAGTCAACATAACAGAAAATCAGAAATAGTATGCAATCGACAAATTTATTCTTCCTTAGTCAAAATAAATCGCCAAAACCCACAGATACTAATACATAAAAATACTGACAAAGCATAAAATTCAACATCAAAAGCAACAAAAAAAAATATCTTAACAGAAATAGAAGAAAAAATAAATAGTATGCAAAACGCTAAACATCCAAGCCTGCATAGAGAGTTTCCCTAATATCATACAATTGAAAATTTTTTAACCATGATTCCAATCAAGGTAAAAAAGAATAACTCAAGGATGCCCGAATAATCATTAACAAAGCCAAATTAGAGAATCTATAATCATGACCCAATAACATTGGTTTCCAACAACAGAGAATCCCAGCCTTCAAATCCCGTAATCATTTTTCCAATTAACTTAATAAAAAAATAATAATGATTTCTCTCCTTTTTATCGTTCCCGTTAACCGCACAATAAACACGGCCCATTTCTCTGAATCTAAACCCCTACTAGCAAACACATTAATTTGGTATGACAGCAGAAACAAAAATTACCAAATTAGAGAAAACTTATTGAATTCGCAACTCTAGATACAAATAGATAAAGTGTGGCAACACATAAAATTCAACTAATAAAAAACAACAAAAATAACCCAAAACAGAGTACAAGAAACGCATGCAAAACATTATACATCCAAGGCAGCAAAGAGACAATTACCAAGACATCAAATCGGAATGTTTTGAACCACAAACACAAGATAAACAAACAAGAACGTAAGTATATCCTAACACATTCTTCAAATTCAAGGCAACCCCTACATCAACTAGCAACACAACACTCATTCAAAAAACAGAGCAGTATCTACGATCATGGCCCATCAACACTGGTATTTCAACAATAGAGAATCCAAACCTTCAAATCACATAATCACTATTCCAATTACTTCATAAAAAAATAACAAACACCAACCGTTTCCTCAAATAAAACCCTCACGAGAGCAAACACAAGTTAAGCTAAATAGAGAAACCTAATTGAATTGGCAGCTCCAGAAAATTCAATTATGTTAAACATACCAACAACTCCATGGGGAGAGACTCGAGCTTGGATTCCGAAAGGGAATCATCGAGGCGAGGGGTTTTGGGGGTTCCAACTAAACCAACACCGTGGCTAACCAAATTGACAGGCGACAACATGACAGGACTCTTATCGAAAACCCTGGCATTCTCGGCATGCCCCTTTGCAGTATTTCCGGCATGCAAGACAGCCACCCTCTTCTTGCCGAGATCGGTGCAGCAACACTTTCCTGAAGCGGAAGCCGAACCTGAAGGCTTGGAGGAGCGAAGCTGAGCGAGAGTCCCGGGCCTGAGGTACTTGTTCCCGGAGCTCCGTGACTGCCTCCTCCCTTTAACCCTCCGAGTCTTCTCCTTGGGCGACACTTTCCCCATTGTCTTGTTCCCCACACTCAACCCTGCCTGAAGAATGAAGAAAAGAAAATTGAAAAAGAAAGATTAAAAAGAGAGGGAAGAAGAAGAAGAAGAAGAAGAGAGAAGAGAAAGGTTAGTACATGCTGGTGGTGATGAGGTGGAAGGTGGAAATAGAAGTCGCAACAGAGAGGGAAAGGAAGAGGATGGGGCCGCTAGGGTTTTTATTCTACTTTGTTTGAATTTCGTCACTCATTAAGGTGCCCGCCAAATTTGAGTGATCTGTTTCTGCTCCACGGAATCACACTCGTGGGGCTCCTGCACTCGATCCACCTTTTCTGACGTGCCCTCTTCTCGTTGGGCCTTTTTGGTATCCTAGGCCTTCTGGGTCCCACCATCTCTTTCATTCGTTCCCACCTAATTTGTTTTCCTTTTCTTTATCCTTTTTCTACCATTATTCCTTTAAATCTTTTTTTTTTAATCAAAATACATGGTAATAAATACTTATACTATAAAACTTTTAAAATGCGTACTTCTTTTACATATTTTTATAGAAATTAATAATATTACTATGATAAATAAGAAGTGACGATAGAATTACTAGTTTGCCCTTACGGGGTGGCTGTACCCTGAAAAGGTGGCAACCCTGGTGTCATAACTCATGCGATGAGAGTGATTCAATGCACAAAAATACGGATTCGCCCTTAATTAACTCACCACTCGCACGTGAGTTCCGCGCTTCGCAAAATTACCCAAGAGAACAGACAAAGACGGCATCTACAGTAGAAGTGGTTTAAGATAACACATGTACTTTCAAATTTGTTACTTTCATGCTTTTCCAAATAAATGCTATAAATATAATACTATAACTCGTTACTATAAATTTCAAACTTACTCTTTTATCATTTTTTTATTATTTTCAAATGATTTATGCATATGTTTATTTTGTTGGACAAAATTAATAGATGTAAAATAGGAAATTAAACAACTATTTTATTAGAATGAGTGAAATTTAACATTTGTTTCAATTGATGATGTCTGTGATAGGTCCTTTGATGATTTGTGAGTGAGGAGCATAGGATCCCTCCCAGGCTTTGAATGTTGACTGTGTAGGTCCTCTCACTTTACAACGTTAATCATTAATTATGATGGTTGAAAAGGAATCCACCCGTTCTCTTTCCACCACCACTCTAATTAGTCGTCTACTTAAATCCTAACAAGTTTGAAGTCTAAGAAATACTTCTATTATTATGCTATGTTTTTGGTATATGATTAACAAACATATTCTCACAAATAATACATTTTTTTTTTTGGTTTTTGTTCTTTTAAATAATATTTTTTAATATATTTTCTACTATTTTAAATAATTGACCTTCATTTTTTAAAAATATTTTTGGAACAAATGCTCTAACAAATAACTAAAAGTAATCATAAAGTACAATTTACTTTACAAAGAAATGTAACAAAATAAATTACTTTAAAAATCTAAATATATGCACGTTAACAAGCTTGGATCAATTTATTTACCAACCCATGAAACGTACAAGTTAATGGTTAATTAATGGTGTAATTAATAGTAAAATATGAAAAGGAGAAAAAAGTCAAGTAGATTGGCCTTAATATATATATATATATATATATATATATATATATATATATGAAATTAATCACATAAATAATATAACTTTTCTCAGTTTAATTAATTAAGGAGACTTATTTACAGGGCATACATGGGAATAATATTATTTGAACATCATATTTATATGGGTTTTATTGACTAGTGTCGCTAAAGGATGTATTACGGAATTAAAATAATAATAATTTTAGAGAACCATATAAAAAAAATATGAAAACCATTTACAAATATGAAAATAGTTACAAATTATAGGATTTTTTAATTTAAAAATTTGTTAACCACGTCTCTAAAATTGTGTTAAAAAGATTTTAGCATCTTCATAAACATAATAATATTCTATGGGATTTGTTATTTTCGATGAAAGAATTTTAGAGATTTTATTTTAGAAGAAAAATATTTATCTTTGGATTCATATCTAAGTTCATGTTTACCAAAAGATCTCATGTGAAATAATATATTCAATCTTTCAAAATGGATAAGTTTTATTTAGCCTCCACCACAAAAGAGTAGAACATCAATATTGAGATTCCCAATAATCTTATTTAATAATGACAAAATGAAATATATATTCGTCTTCATTATGAGCTATCACAATAGTTCTCTCTCTTCATGGGAGATGTGAACTACCTGTTTCAGCTAAAGTTTATCTTATAGATTATAACTATCTACATTATGAATGTGATTGGTAATGTACTTATCACTCTCCATGCTCAAAAGGTACTACTAATAATCTTTCCAAACTTCAATGTTAGCTTGAAGGATCCTACCATATGTCAAAGATTGAAGGTTTAGATTCAGATCACAGGAGTTGAACAAGTAGCTAATGCACTCTCGGTAACCCTTCATCATCAAATAATTGACCGACTGCAAGATCATGTCATAAATATTGTTTTACCTTTATGCAAAGATGAATCTCTATTCGTCTTGGCCAATAATTAAAATAAAATACCTTTCATAATTCAGATCCTCAGAAACATCTCCCAATAGGAACTACAAAAGCTTATCCTGGGTCATCAACTATGAAAAGCTCCACATCAATAAAAAAAAAACTAATCCAGTTTATTGAAACCACTTTCAGAAGATTTGTAAATGGTACCATTAAAACCATCTTTAAAAATCCTTAAGATGTCCCATGTAACATCCCAATTTCTATAATTAATTATTTACTTAAGTTCCTACAAATTATTATATAAATATTATGTAAACTTTTTATGTGAAGAAAGGATATATTAAAAAAAATAATAAAAAAAATGATGTACAATATCCTTATTACGAAAAATGCAAAGAGAGAAAGAGAAGGTATTGTGGCCTTAATATACAATTGAAATTAAGGCGGTTGAATTAAGATGGTAGAGAATTAAGGCGGTGAAGAAAAGTCGAGAAGGAATTTAAGTCGGTAAGTTAAGTCTATAAATAGGATGAAATTGGACAAGTAATTCACGGCCAAACAGAGAAGCACTTGAGAAGCGAAATTTGAAAGAAGAAGAAGAAAATGATGGAATTGATAAATAAATCGGTGGAATACTAGCAAATCTTGGAGAAATAGGTATGGGTTAGATGTTTAATTTTATTCATACGCTTAAAATTGAAATGTCTGATTTTGATTACTATTTATTGTTTTGAAAGTTTGAAATGTTGATGAAATTCTTGAAATTAAAGATGAATTACATGGTAAAATTGTTGTTTTTGAATCAAATATGATAGGTTTCATGTTTAATTTGAGTTTGGAATTAATTTGATTGATTGATACGTGAGAATTTGAAATCGGAGAAACTGAATTTGGTTACTGGACGAAGATTAAAGAAGAGGGATATGGTGGGAATTTTTGAAATTAAGGATAAATTATATATTAAAATTGTTGTTTTTAACTTAAATTGAATATGTTTAAGGTTTAATTTGGATTTGAAACTAATTTGGTTGTCTGAAACTGAAAAATTTGGAATCTGGAATGTTGGAAATGGCGTACTAGAAGTGAGGAAGAAGAAAGGGACAAGGTGGGAATTTTTGAAAAAGATTAAGGATATAATGGTCATTTTATCATGGCTTCAGGACATGGATGGAATTATAGAAATGTCCAAAGGTAAAATAGTCATTTTAGGGACATGAATGAAATTATAGAAATGTCCAAGGGTAAAATAGTCATTTTAGAGACATGGATGAAATTATAGAAATGTTCAAGGATAAGAAAGTCATTTTTGGGACATGGATGGAATTATAGAAAATGTCCAAGGGTAAAATAGTCATCTTAGGAAAATGGATGGAATTATAGGAAATGTTCAAGGGCAAAATGGTCATTTTACAATCTAGGGACATGAATGGAATTTTGAAAAAAAAGTTAAGGGTATAATCGAGATAAAGTCAAACAGTATATTACCACCTCTTTGTTTACTAGGAAAACGACTCAGTAAACATTCGAATTTGAGGATAGTGTCTTCATTAAAGTTATAAGTTATTGTCTTGTCTTTCCAACATAATTGGAATCATCTTAAAAGGAGGTCTAGAACTCGAGATATGGACAAAATATTGAACCCTACGAAATAGATTATTAATAGAAATTGTCTTGTTTAAAACAATTATGAATTGTAATTGAAATTTTGAATATGTGAATGAGATGTTTCTAAGTACTTAATTGATGATAGGTTGTTTTGTTTCATACAAGACATAAACATAGTGCATGAAATGTTTTCTAGAAGTCATAGAAAAGTATTTGGAAATTTCTATTAAGTTGCTACTAAGGACGGTTGGAAGTAATAACGATGTGCAAAACAGAATTTTGGAAATATTCCTGAGTCATTTTCTTGAAAATTTACTATCAAGAGCATCTGGTAGCGGAATACGACTACGAAAATGGTTGGCCAAATGAGATAGAGAATGTATGAAAATGAATGATTGAGAATCGAGCTACCAGTATCTATGATAGTAAATGGGGGAGTAGAATAGGTAAGATAGGACCTCTGGTCTATGGGGTTGGACCTCTGGTCTAGGAAGTTTTTGGGCATGGGCAATCTCATAAGTGGTCAGTCTTTATTTGATTATGTGTCGTAGTAGCATGTCGGGTGCATTGACACTTTGACTACTGTCTACTTGTTCACGTTTAGTGGGGCATTGCCGAATCACCGGACAGGGTGATGTCAAGCTCTGGTTCCACTAGACACTCATATGAGTCTCCATAGAGCACTGAGTCAAAAATAATTTTTTAGATTTTGAGCCAAAAGCATGATTTTCAAGTTTTACGTTTTGAGTCACATGTGCATATCATAAACATATTGCATGATGAAATTGTAGATTATTCATGATTTGTATGATATTCTTTATTATGTTCCATGATTGATTTATTTGTTTCTCATAATTAATTTTCGAATTAAATTATATATGGTTGTATATTTATACATAATTATGAACTTATTATGAAGGAATGTTTCATTGTTTGATTTTATAGTATGAATGTTTGCTTTATTTGCTGTGGGTAAAATTAAATGTCTAACCCCATAAATATTTTCAATCACAGATGTTGGTGACGTGTGATGCAGGAATGTAGAATTCAAGAGATAGATGTTAGATGCAAAAAAATCCAGAGCATAGATTGGGGATTGTATAATAAATAAGTATGACTTTATGAAGAACTTCACTTAAAATTTTCTATTACTTTGATATATTACTAAATTAGATAAGAAATTAGGATTTATAAATGTAATCTGGAAGGGGGTTACATTAGTGGTATCGAGCTCTAGTTATGCATCTTTAGGACTTGTGAGTGTAGGTCCATTAGGTTGAAGGTCACTTTAGTTCTTTGTTGAATTATTTGAGATTAAGTATGATTTGTCTGATTTTTGCACGATATTATAAAACTAGAATATTTTAGAATAGAATAAAAATTGAATATACTATAGGTAGAAAATGTCACCTAGACATGATTTTATGGCTGATGTGGCACAAGCTATGTGAGAAATGGTTGCTGCCTTAAGTCAGCAAACTTTGGCTCAACAACAAAACTTTGTGGATAAAACTACCTTAGTTGACTTTAAGT